CAAGCAACAATAGAAGATTTAATCACAATGTACCCAAATTATGTACTAATGTAACTAAATAATTTGAAAATCAATTTCACCAAATTTAATAAAAACCCGGTAATACAAATCCGACCACATCAAACTATGTTTGAGCCGCCTCGGTTATCACCTGAGGCAGGAACCGATATGAGGCACAACATATATATGTATTTCAAATTTGCTTTGTAATAATATGTACCGTATATTGAAATTAGCTTTGTAATAAATATAACGATAGTGATAATGGAAATAAAATTATATTAGTCAGATATCCGTCATGCTGATAACGGATTTATTATCCTATCTGGTCTCGGATATCGGTTATCTTTTCAGGGGGTCAAATCTGGGTCTAGGGTAGTATATATGAGTGACGAAAAGGGAAAACCTGTAAACTATTTCACTCAATGACGTTGAGTGAAATGATTTACAGGTTTTCCCTTTTTTGTTACTCATATGTTGTAGATGGGAACAGAATTTAAGTGTTTTTGGATTTTTTAATAAAATTGTAATTTTATGATAATAAATTTCAAATCCACATAAATTCCATTCCTACTTACAAACATAAATAACATGTAGTATTCAGAAATTATATAACAAGACATCCAATTATATGGAGTGTTACATATTAAAACAGTCCATTTTTACAAATTTTTGTTTAATTTTTAAATAGATATATACTGTACTGTGCTTAATAAAAAAAAGTTTCTATAAGTTACAAATACTAATTATATAACAAAAAAGTTTACAAAATGAACTTGAAGCAGAAACTTTTATATATTTCTATTTGTATATAATCATTTAAATTACTCAAAATTATTTATATATAAAAATAGATGTTTGAATACATAACACTACATATATCCAGCTCTTCTAGTTACCATTTGTATTGTAATCCGCCTCTATCATCTGATTGTTTTCTGTTATGCATAATCTTTACTGTGCCAAGCAAACAAGATAACATCATGCCTGTTTTCAACCACATATACTCGCATATCATCCATAGAAAGGAAGTCATCTCGCCGTCGGGATCACATCCTATTGCAAGAGATACTGATAATTCACACATTTTACGTTCGATCACATTGATGGTTTGGGGTGATATTTCAATATCACTAGCGTAACTACCAGCAATATCTATGGTTATAAGTTTGGCAATTGCTATAGCATCATATCCTAGTGACAAAGCAGCAACCCTAAGGTTTTCTGCGGCTTCCAATGCACTGATGCTATCTTTCTTTGTAATATTATTATCATCTTGCAATACATCCAGCAATGTACTTTTCAATTCCAAATAATTATGCTGATAGTTAGTTGCACCATTATAGATCGATGGAATAATTCGATGACGTCCATTAGTCAATTGCCAGAAGTGATTTGCTAGGAATGTCAACCCACACGCATCGTATTTGTATCTTTCGATGATGTATTGTAGCCCATTTGCCATACGAATATATCCTTTTTTTACAGAATCCATGTCTATCTTACCACCCGCAATAGTTAAAAATGTATTGCTTGATTCCTTGACACTTACATCATATCCAAAATCAACCATGTCATGTGATACTGCAACAAATCCGATGACATCCATTTCATCAACAGTCAATATAGTATATGGCAATGAATTAGGTAGACTAATGGGACCTGTAGATATTTTGCTTCTATATGACTATGCCGTCGAAAGCAGAGAATTTAATATTAACGAGTGGTTTTCTGGTGCCAGAAATAAGATAGCAATCCTATTTAAATACATGACACCATTACAGGCAACAAGTACATTGGGAAATGTCATGAGTTATGAGATGATTAAAGCCAAATGTAGAGTAGAAGAAGCAAGCAGACGCTACTCTCAGGTAAATAAAAAAATGGCTGTATGGAAGAATTTGAGAGCAATGTTACATTACAGAGTTGTTGATGCTGCTTTCCTTAAGATAGTGCCATATACTATGTTGACTGTTGATGAAATGGATGTCATCGGATTTGTTGCAGTATCACATGACATGGTTGATTTTGGATATGATGTAAGTGTCAAGGAATCAAGCAATACATTTTTAACTATTGCGGGTGGTAAGATAGACATGGATTCTGTAAAAAAAGGATATATTCGTATGGCAAATGGGCTACAATACATCATCGAAAGATACAAATACGATGCGTGTGGGTTGACATTCCTAGCAAATCACTTCTGGCAATTGACTAATGGACGTCATCGAATTATTCCATCGATCTATAATGGTGCAACTAACTATCAGCATAATTATTTGGAATTGAAAAGTACATTGCTGGATGTATTGCAAGATGATAATAATATTACAAAGAAAGATAGCATCAGTGCATTGGAAGCCGCAGAAAACCTTAGGGTTGCTGCTTTGTCACTAGGATATGATGCTATAGCAATTGCCAAACTTATAACCATAGATATTGCTGGTAGTTACGCTAGTGATATTGAAATATCACCCCAAACCATCAATGTGATCGAACGTAAAATGTGTGAATTATCAGTATCTCTTGCAATAGGATGTGATCCCGACGGCGAGATGACTTCCTTTCTATGGATGATATGCGAGTATATGTGGTTGAAAACAGGCATGATGTTATCTTGTTTGCTTGGCACAGTAAAGATTATGCATAACAGAAAACAATCAGATGATAGAGGCGGATTACAATACAAATGGTAACTAGAAGAGCTGGATATATGTAGTGTTATGTATTCAAACATCTATTTTTATATATAAATAATTTTGAGTAATTTAAATGATTATATACAAATAGAAATATATAAAAGTTTCTGCTTCAAGTTCATTTTGTAAACTTTTTTGTTATATAATTAGTATTTGTAACTTATAGAAACTTTTTTTTATTAAGCACAGTACAGTATATATCTATTTAAAAATTAAACAAAAATTTGTAAAAATGGACTGTTTTAATATGTAACACTCCATATAATTGGATGTCTTGTTATATAATTTCTGAATACTACATGTTATTTATGTTTGTAAGTAGGAATGGAATTTATGTGGATTTGAAATTTATTATCATAAAATTACAATTTTATTAAAAAATCCAAAAACACTTAAATTCTGTTCCCATCTACAACATATGAGTAACAAAAAAGGGAAAACCTGTAAATCATTTCACTCAACGTCATTGAGTGAAATAGTTTACAGGTTTTCCCTTTTCGTCACTCATATATACTACCCTAGACCCAGATTTGACCCCCTGAAAAGATAACCGATATCCGAGACCAGATAGGATAATAAATCCGTTATCAGCATGACGGATATCTGACTAATATAATTTTATTTCCATTATCACTATCGTTATATTTATTACAAAGCTAATTTCAATATACGGTACATATTATTACAAAGCAAATTTGAAATACATATATATGTTGTGCCTCATATCGGTTCCTGCCTCAGGTGATAACCGAGGCGGCTCAAACATAGTTTGATGTGGTCGGATTTGTATTACCGGGTTTTTATTAAATTTGGTGAAATTGATTTTCAAATTATTTAGTTACATTAGTACATAATTTGGGTACATTGTGATTAAATCTTCTATTGTTGCTTG